AAAAAAGAACATGAGGCCCCTCCCTGGTGGTGCAGCTCTAAGAAGCTAAAGACAGTTTGTTACTGAACGCCAGTCTCAGTTTCCCTCGGCCAATAAAAGGAAACAGAGTTTGAGGAAAAGGAAAGTGGTTTTATTTGTCGACAGATGAGTAGGGCACAGACTCATGTCCGAAAGCCCACTGTCCTGCTCTTTGGCAAGTTACAGGGCTATTTATACAGTGTTCAACAAAGGAAAGGGGAGGTGGTAAAATTTAGTGTGGGAATGTAGGCAGGTGGGCACCAGCTTTTATTTACGCAAAGACAAACAAAAGTGGGAAATCAACAAGAGTATTGGGGAGGGGGGCAGGAGACAGCACAGGGAGGAGAAGCTGGTGCCAGCAAGCTTTCTCGCCATTTGCTTTAGTTTGGGATTCCTTTCCTTGAACCTAAACCTGTCAAGGGAAGAGGAACTGCAAGGAGAACAAACTCACAATCAATTAAGAGCTCTGGGAAAACCAATTTTTCATCATAAATTTGTCAAAGGAGGCAAATCTGCAAATGCTTACCTGAGAGCCCATTAACTGTATCAACTTCAGCATGAGTTTGATCCCTGCCCCGGAGGTGACCCACATGGTGCGGCAGACCTCTCCTGACCGCCCGCCGCTCCCCTCAGCAGTGTACTTTGTCAGTCAGCCTGTTCTGCTCCCCACTCTGTCTCTGGTAAATCCTCTCACTGCCCCTGTACCCAGTTCTGAACGCATAAATAAATCTTTAAAAAAAAAAAACCATTAAGAAAAAAGAGCATGTATTAATCGCCAATAAGAAAAAAAGCTTACAATCATAGTTCTTAAAAATAAAGATGAGTTCTAGACTCTAAAATATCAGATCTCATGTAAATTCCTGTGTTGCCAGTAAATTCAAGACACCCCTCCCTCCTGGCCCCACCTCCGATTCCCCCCCCCCCATCCCCAACAACTCTAAAATCCCGTTACAGTGGCTCTGGGATAGTAGGGATGAAGTAAGGAGTTAGATAAAGATCTAGATCTTCTGCTCCATATCCTGATTGTGGGATCGAGGTCACCAATTCACACTTGTGTTACACCTCATATAACTTCCCCCCCAATCAAAATAAATTCCATGTATAAACACAAATATATGACTACTTTTGGTGGGTGGCAATCATCACACCAGGCCCGGACTGAGGAGACAAGCGTGCTTATGAAAATTCAGCGATGATGCACAAGAAAGCAACTGAGAAATGCAAACTTGGGTTATCATCATGAGCTCAAATTACACCTACACATGAGCAGATTCCTGGGAAAAGAGCAAAACATGTTTTTCCTTCACTGAGTTTGGTGTGGCTGGATTATGATGTAGTGCTGTGTGGCCTCCGCCTTGTAGCTCAACAAGGCTGGAGGTGGGAGAGAGCCAGCTGCTTAGACTGACCCCAGAGGGGTGCCCAGGTACCTGAGCTCACAAATCCCACCACAGGAGAAAGGCTCAGTTTAATTCTGGGCTTCAAAGATTTTTCTCTTCTTACTCGTTAGTCAAAGAGACTTTGAAAGAATAAATCAACAACTAACTCTGAAGATAAAACATTCAACAATGTCAATTTTCAGCGCCCTATGTTCCTCTTCAGTTTTTCAAGGTCATATCTTCTCACGGAATGATTACAAAGGGGGCTGACATGGTACATGGTTTAAAAAAAAAAAAACTCCTATGAAGTTCAACATCTAAAAGAAGGACCAAACGGCTCAGCTCCCAGCCAGCCTTGACAAAGAGCTGAAAAAAAAGGACAAAACCAAACAGATAGGAGCGGTCTCCCCCCTTCCTGTCCGCCCCTCACACCCCCCCACCCCACATCTGTGAATCTGCCTGCCTGTTCCACAGCCTCCTCAGAGAGAAGACATCACAACAGTACTCAGAATAAGAAACCAAAAGGGCAGAAGCCCAAAAAGCAGAAGGTCCCGAATTTCACGCTATTTCCAAAGAGTGAGCGTGCATGCTTTGCTGGTGATTCTCACAGTGGGCAGAAAAGGCTGACAGCTTGAGGGGCTATTTTAGGGGGCTGTGCTGCAAGTCCACTCAGGAGAGGGGCTGGCCCTGCTAGTCCAGTATTTTCAGGTCCCAACCTGCCCCTCCATCCAGGGGTAGGCTTTGAGCATTGGCCAGCCCTGCAAGCAGACTTTATATTTAAATCATTCCAAGGGAATCTACACTTCAAGTCATAGCCAGAACTTGGGGTAGGGGAGGAGAAGAGAAAAGAAAGTGTGCTCCCCACTCCGTCCCACTTATAATTATCGACTACACATTTGAGATTGATCCAGGGATTCCAAGTTTTCACTTCAACCAGAGCAATGCTTCCACCTTCCCTTCTTCTCAAGTATCACTCAAGGTGTATATCCCCCAGGGGCCAAGGCAGCTCTGAATGCAGATCAAAGGCAAATGGCCCCCATTGTTTTCTTCACCTCCTTCACATACAGAGGCTCTGAAAGGGGTGTTAGGCCGGGGCTCCCCAGAAGCATTTACAGTCACTTTCTGATAAAAGAAACTCCTCAGCCCAAACCAACACACAAGTAATACACATTTACATACCAGATACAGTGACACATATACATACACACCTATTTCAATAAGACATACTTACATAAATATACGACACATGTATTTAAAGCAGAGAGCAGCAGGAAGCCTGTCCCATAAGTCTAGAATCCTCTGCTTTCCTCATCTGAGCTAGCAGCAACAGCAGTTCCTATTATAATTTTGTACCATGGTGGCCAATTATAGATCAAAATGCAATATTTTTGCTTGCCTCCCAGTCCACCAGTTAGATTAGTTAATAAACTAGAGGACAAAGAAGGAAGAGAGAGATCCTGGATGCATTCCTGGAAAGTAGGGAGCAAACACTGGTTGAAGTGCCTTAGATAGTTCACTTTAATAAATCTAGCAGGCTGAATCTCTGCTCTCAGAACAGCTGGGTACAGCTCTCAGCCTCTTAGAAACTCATCCATCTTTCTCCACTCTACTAGGCACAAGGATTTTCTCTGAACAGCAATGGATTTCTAGTTTCAGCCCCTATAAGTCTAATTCCATTGTTTCAGGGAATCTGAACTCGTGATTAATAAGCCATCAACTTTATCCCTCCACCTCCACCCAAATTTCCCTGGGGGAGAGTGCTGCAAGGAGGAAAGGAAATTCTTAATTAGGTTTGGATTTAAAAAGCAAGTGCCCACAAGAAAAAGGAAAACACAATTGGATGTAAATGCCATCAAATAACCACTAATGTCTTTGGTTAAAGTGCTTGACTGTGATTCTCAGGTCCAGGTGTGAACTCGGTGGACACCAGAAGGAAGCAGAGTTTGAACCTCACACCAAATGACGGGGTGACTAAGGAACATTGAAATTCATCCTCACACCAATACACTCATTTTTACTCATAACTAAACTTAATCTAACACAATTCCCTAAAATATAAGGAGACTTGCTCTGCTTTCCCAGGCAGAGCAGCATCTCAAGTGTTCCAAGATCAAAAATGGAATCACAGAAACTCATAGCATCAAATAGCCATATCAGGACTCTGGGCAGATATAATTCTCAAAGAACCAATAAGGAAAATATTAGCCCAAGGAAGAAAGATATCATGACATTTTAGAAAATGTAAAAGGATGTAAAAATGTAAAAGTATTAGGCAGAGTGATATGACCCTGAAAATCCCTAAACTCTTAACTAAAACCATGTGAGAAAATGCTTTTACCTTAGCCACCCTAATGCACCAGGCAGCTGCTTGGATTCTGAAAGCCCAACTGCAGTTCCACGCGTCCATATTGCAGCCTGGAGGTCTGCACACCACTCCCTGCTGATGGAACCCAGCCAACCCTACAGTCTACAGGCAAACTGCAGCAAGATGCCCAGGCCCTAGTCCCAGCCACGACCAGGGGGCCCCGGGGCCTGCCCTCCTGTGTGCCCTATTACTGGCCGGGTAAACAGTCATCGGAGGGAAACACAGGAACAGCCGCATCATGCCCCAGTGTGGCCACTCCCTGGCCATCCACAACACCGGTTGCTCACACTTGCACAGAATGAAACGGTGTGCTGGAACACAGCCTGCCACAGCGAGCTGAGCAGGAAGGGACAAAGTACCAGATGATGCTGGAAACTGCAGGTCTCCACCTCTCAAAGAGGTCAGACACTGCTGAGCTTCTGCAGGGCAAGTAGTGACATCTGACAACCCAACTCTGCAAAAGGAAGCAGTGAAGGGGACTTGAAAGCAGCCACAGCTGCCAGCACTCTGCCACCTTCTCCAGATGACAGAGGCTGGGCTGTGGCCGTGTGAAATGCCTTCTGGTGCGAGAGTGTACACCTTACTGCTGCCAAACTGCTCATTCCACTCTCTCTATCTTGTGCTAAGCATGAGAAACTGAAGGGCAGGGACAGGGAAAGTTTCCTAGATTGACTGGAGAATATTAAAACACAGTGAAGCTGCTGTGGGCGGCCTCTCACTGGCCTGTGCTCTAAATGCTACCAGTCCTCTCACTGGCATTTGGGGAAGGCTTGCTCTGGGATCATCTGACCAAATGACACACCTTTCAAGCGTGTCAGACTTTCAATATCCCCTCAATGTGGATCACCTAACCCCAACCCACCCCTAAGGAGTGACCCCACAGGTGTGACTCGCTACGGATGCCGGATGCTGGCACACTCCAGGAAGTGAGGGAAGGACCCTGCCACGGCTGTCCTTGCCATCGACAAAGTGCTGGCCAGGGCCTCTGTCCATTATCTCCACCTAATAGGAAACCTGAGCCCCCACACGCAGATTGATTCTCGCACTTTAAATCCCCGCTCAGCTCCAGAGGCCTCAGGTTTCCAGAAACGTACTGCTGCCACCGACCAGCCAACCCACAGAGCAGCTGGAATTCTCCCGCCCCAGCACTCGACCGCCTCCTCCGCAGCCCCCCGAGGCTGAGGTTCTCGGGACAGCCCGGGATCCCGGCGCCATGCCCACCCCCGCGGGCCGCGCCTTACCTCCCGTGTCCTCGAAGCGGGGGGGAGGACGGTCTCGCAGCGTGGCGCTCCAGCCCGCGCTCGCCTCGTCCTCTTCGGGCTCCTGCGCGTCTGGGGCACGCGGAACGGCCGCACCCCGCTGGGGGCCTGGGTGCTCGCGTTCATCGTCAGAGGAGGCAGCCGAAGAGGATCGCGAGGCGGCGGAGGTGCTGTAGAAGGGGTTCCCACCGCTGTCCGGGCCCGACTCGCCGAACACGTCGTCCGAGATGTGCAGGCTCTCATAGCGCGCGCGGGCCGCCTCCAGCAGCGCCGGCGCCCTCTTCCGCGCGCCCCCGCCGCCCTCGGCCA